TGGCTCACGCCTGTAATCTAACCACTTTGGAGGCCAAGACAGGCGGATCACCTGAGGTCGGGAGTTCAAGACCACCCTGACCAACATGGTGAAACCCCGTCTTTAAAAAATAAATAAAAATATCAAAAAACAAAACAAAACAACAACGACAACCAAAAATAAATAAATAAATAAAAGCACAAGTCTGGAGCCCATCTGACTGGATTCAAGTTCTGACTATGGCTTGTACTTATGTTATTCCACGCCTCATATGTAAAATGGAGACAAGCAGCAGAACGACAAACCATACAAGGTTACTGGGAGGCTTAAACAAGTATGTAAATATAAAACCCTTGCCATAGTGCCTGGCACATAAGTACTCAAATAAATATTAGCAACTGCAATTTATATAATACTTTACCATTCACAAAGCATGGTTTTCTCTTGATTCCTATCACTGAAATTTCATCAATTCAGGTGCTCTAATTTTCCAAACGTATAAAACTCTCAAAAACTTCCCAAAATGGATTCTAACATAAACTTATTTATGTTCCAAGATCATTAAGGAAACTAGACTGAAACCAAGCTATAGTCTGTAATAAGGTAATATAGTTACTGTCCCTGCCCAGTAGAGAAGTATGGTATTTGCAAAGCATTTTCAAATGTGTTTTCCAACTTTAACAAGGACCCAATTCTATAAATAATTAAATCTGAAATGCAGTCAGTCTGAAGAATATTATCTGGCTAACTTAAAGAAGTGTCCCTACCAAGACAGAAGAGCAAAGAGGAAAGAGTCCCCCACTGCTGATCTACTATTGAGCTCTGGGTCGCCCTACAAGGAGTACAGCAGTATTACAGGGAAGTTAGCTACATTTCATCCTCATTCTTGAAATAGGGAGACTTGGCAAAAGGACAGACAAAACTCTAGACACTATAAATTTGGTTCTGGAAGGGATTACAAGCCATTTACTGCATTTTTTTCAAGCATCAAGTTCCCTAAAGTATTAATTGCCTTTTAACCATTATTCATCAAGACAGACCAAAGATGGAAAGGATCCTGATATCACCAGAGGACAGCTTCATAAGTGCCTTCTTATCCCCTGAAAAACCTTATTTTGTTCTACAGGTAAACAGTTTGGTTGTAGCCTTATAAAGGATAATAAACATGCTGGAATCATACATTGAAATAACATCTCTCTCAATTACTGTCTGGATATGTAACATACAACTCATTGCCTAATTTTATTCATAACATCCTGCAAAGTAGAGTTTACAAACAAGGAGCGGGGATCCCAAAGCAGTACCCAAAGCAGAACTCCCCAAAGAACAAGCCCATATCAGTCTTGACTAATATCATGGCTTTTTAAGACTTTCATTATAAGACTTTCAAATTATAAGCTGACTACACTCCAAATGGGTTTTCTTTTATAACACTAGTTTGGATTTGAAAAGTAAATAGCTGTTGACAGTGCACTTATGGAAAACTACAGAATCACTTCAGTTATATTTTAGGTTCACAACAAAGCCTTCAAAAGCATAAATTTTCTATTTTCAACTTCTCACGTTTGGTTGGAGAGAGCAAAGAAAAGGTATACCAGCTAACATTACCCTGAAATGCTTCATCAAATTATGAAGCATTAGGTATGATCTTCTCATAGATCATACCTTACCCAAGAAATCACCTTTGTAGTCATACTATACCCAGAAGCAGGTGTGAGTCACAAAAGAACCCACAGAGAAGCAAAGCATTGATCTAAAAGTTCCTTCCAAGGATGACCAGAACAAATGCTAAGTGTTGCCATCTCTGTGTGATAGGATTGTGAGATCTTTTTTTTTAGGGACAGGGGTCTCACTATGTTGTCCAGGCTGGAATGTAGTGGCTACCCTCAATTATAATTATAGCACACTGCAGCCTCAAACTCCTGGCCTAAGTCTTCTTCTAAGTAGCTGAGATTTAGATTCTGAGATTTTTCTTTGTATTTTTTTGTGTTTCATAAACTTTATACAACACACATCCCATTTTGAACCAAAAACTTTTTTAAAGCTTCTTTTTGCCAAAACACCTTACCACATTTTATGAAAAATCAATGTTCTGACACCTTATGAATGGGGCCTGGTAGTAAGCAAGCAAGCATTAATTATTAATGCTGCTTTTAAAAAATGGTCTGAAAAATAGTGAATGCCTATAGATTAGGGGATTTTTCTTTTCCCTTACCAGGTAGCAGCCATATTTCTAGGATTCTGCTTTCTAAAGATTGTGGTTCCATGCTGAGAGGCTAAGGCAGGAAGACTGCTTGAGGCCAGGAGTTCAAGACTAGCCTGGGCAACAAACCAAGACCTCATCTCTACAAAAAACTTAAAAATTAGCGGGTGTAAGAACATGCACCTGTAGTCCCAGTTCCTTGCAAGGCTGAGGCAGGAGGATCCGTTGAGCCCAGGTGACAGAGGCTGCAGTGAGCTATGATTGTGCCACCGCACTCCAACCTGGGCAACAAGAGTGAGACCCTGACTCAAAAAAAAAATAAATAAATAAAAATGAAACCACAGTTCCATTAGGTTGAAAAGGGTTTTATGTTTTGGTGAGTTTTTGGCTTAATTGCCAGGTTTAAAAAGAAATGTGTGCAGTTTATAAGAAAAAAAAACCCAGAAATATGAAGAAAACAGAAAATTATTTTTTAATAGTAGCCTATTTAATCCTCTAGACTGACCCACCAGGCAAGATTACTTGCATTCTGGGAAGTCCCTGGCAGTTAATATATCATTTTCAAGTACAGATTTTCATCTGATCCTCGAAAGTCAGTACAGTAGCCAGAAGTTAAAGAAATGGCCTAAGGGTCGGGTGCGGTGGCTCATGCCTGTAAACCCAGCACTTTGGGAGGCCAAGGAGGGTGGATCACCTGAGGTCAGGAGTTCGAGACCAGACTGGCCAACATGGTGAAACCCCGTCTCTTAAAAAAAAAAAAAAAAAAAGAAATGGCCTAAGAACACTTATCTAGTCAACAGCACTAGAGGAACCAGACCCTACACCCTATTCTTCAAATTCTGTTCTATTCTCCCTCTACTCCTAACTTCTACCTGGCAGAATGGAAGCCAAACAGCAAGGTTCCAGTCCTGCTTTCTGTGTGATCTTGGACTCTCCCTCAGCCCTGGTTTCCTGTAAAACGAAGTCGTACTGTCAACTTAAGTGCCAAACTGCTTAATACTTTATTGACTTTCAAAGTCCTATGCTGAAATGCTGCTTCTGCCATCTCTACTTCACAAAACTGTTCATCCATCAGTAATATAGTCATACTCCCCTTCTTTCAAAACCTGATCCTACTGATAGAAATGATCCCTCTAGCCCTCCAAGTCACTATGTTGATGGCCCCATTTCTACCTTGTGTGTCAACTTGTAGTTGACCATACACAGAGTAACACCCCACGGACTCTTGCACTATGTGCAGTATTTGCCAAAGGTTATGAGAAATTTGAAAAATGAGTAGAAACAAAATAGGTGTGAAATACTGCCACTCTCAGAACTTTTGAAATACAGCAGCCTAGAGCAATGTCTATCATAACCTTTAAGGACCATTTACAAACTTTCTCTAAGCTACTGAGATCCTCCTAGTCATCTACACGGAAGCAATATTGCACAGATCTGGAATCCTACCACTGGCTCAGCCACTTATTATTTGATCATGGGCATTATACAACTCAGAGAGCCTCAGTTTTTTCATCTCTAAAATGGGCATAACAGTAGACCTATTTTACAGGACTGTTGCAAGAACCAAGTAAGAGACTGGAATCCCCTTCAGAATACATTCTCAATTCCTTAACTTCGTCTTCACAGCCCTCCATGAACTAGTGCTTCAAGTGTTCACCCCTTAACTCTAACAGGAGAATATTCCACTTCCTGTGGGCACATTTACTGGCCTTTCTCGACCATTCCTTTGCCCTTGTGATCGAGGCTTCCTATTGCCTAAGAAATCCTCAATACCGGTCAGGGCCTCCCCCAATGTTAAGCAACACCTGCGAGTACTTAACATCAACTTCATTTTAAGTCTTTAGAAGTTATACCAACTAGAATAAATCTGGGGGAAAGGGATTTGAGGAAATGCGGTGAGATCCAAGCACCACGGTAGAAAAAGATCCAGCCAGCTTCACAGCCCGGACTTCCCGCTCACGTCGCTGGGAGCCCTCTGTTAAGGGAAGCTCGTGGGCTAGCCTGGAAACTTTCCGGGAAGGCTAGTCACTTCCTGAGGCTGCAGGATATTTTTCTCTCGTTCTAAGCCCATCACCCCATCGTCTTTTTAAAAAACAATGCTAGGAAGGCAAACAAGGGCGGGATACCAGCCCCGACAAGACAGCCTAGAAAGTTTTAACGAGGGCGTTCTATCAAGCCAAGAGAGGTTCCTCGCGGCACCCAGGAAGGCGAGCTGGGGCAGCAGTGCCCAGCGGAAAGGAATGCAGGGATCACCAGCCCCAGTCTCATTCGGGGCATTAACTGGGCACTCGAGCCCCTTCAGGGAGGGCGACTCAACGTGTGCTCTCCATTCCGGAAATGCCAACCACGGCAGGAGGTCCGCCTCGGCGCCACCGCCCTGAGGAAAGCGGGCTGCGGCCAAGCCTGCGGCTCCGGAGTCCTCGCCGGCTCTGCAGCTTCGGGCAGTCTAGGCCCGGCTGCCCCACATGGCGGCGGCCGGCTACTAGGCCGCAGGCCCGGTCTCCCACACTGGAGTGGGTTCTGCTTCCCGCCTCAGTCCTTAGCCCTAGCGCCGGGCTCAGGCCCTCACCTCGTCTCCAGACATGGCTGCGGCTCTAGTGGGCTCGGCTCGGACGGGAAGTCAGACGGGTCAGCCCCAGGTTCCGGCGGCAGCGCTGCTCCTGCCGATACCTCTTCCACCACCGCACCAGGCTCTTGCATCAGCGAAAGGGAACGACACCCCGCCCTCTCCTCCAAGCTGGAAATGCGCCTGCGCAGAGCTCGCCAGGCGCAGGCGCGCAGAAGAACCAACCCAGCGTGCTTCGTGTGGCGCGAGTTATCAGGCGGCGCTGCGCCGCCAGGCATGCCGGGACTTGTAGTCCGTCTATAAGAGGCTGTCGCTTGCGCGGCAGCTGACCAGCGACCCGTCGCGATGTTCGAGCGAGCGGCAACCGGAAGAAGGTTCGGTTGTTGGTAGTGACCATTACCTCAGCCTTTAGGAATGTTCTTCGCTGTTTGTAGAGTGAATTGGGGGCCGTTCCTCCTGGGTTAAGGTAGCGGGTTAGACACCGAGTCATATGAACCCGCTGGAGCTTTAGTTTCCCGCATGCCCCTGCGGCGTCCTGGTGTTTGAGAAATTCTGAGTTGAAGCTGGAGGCGCGCGAGTCAGTTTTTACTTCATAAGAAATTTGACGGCTGGTTTTCTGCGTGATAGGTCAGAAACCAAAGTATCTCCCCTGTCTTCTCTTAGGAGAGAAGGCGTCTCCTGAGGAGAATTAAACAAGCCAGAGGCAGCTGTCGGGAAGCCTCAAAATACTTGTTTATGAAGCCTGAACGCTCTGGGTGCACCATGTAGTTTCCCTTGAGACGTAACAACAGCAGTGACCCTTTAGGGAGCTGTTACTGCGGCTCGAGCCAAAGACCGTCGAGAACACTCCTGTAGTTGGACAAAGTTGGGTCTATGGTTTTGCAAGGAGGGTGGTACACTGTGGAGAAACAGCGGGACGTCTTGGGAAGAGGGTGTTGGAAAGAATTTACAGGATTTGAGCATCTGTTAGGTAATTTGGGGGAGGGTTTAAGGAATGTGAAACACTGAAAATAAATGCAGCCCATGATGGCGGGAAGCCAGCTGGCGCTATTAACTAGGATGTTGCTGAACACTTAACAATTTCACAGAACACCAACATCAGACAAGGCCATTCTGTGACCACGGTGGGTCAAAACAAAAACAAAACCACTCCACAACTATGTCTGAATATAAACAAAAAGAAACATTGTGCCAACCACAGAAAAAATGACCAGATATGCTATCTCTATCCTTTTTTTTTTTTTTTAACCAATTGCAGCTTTAGCCTCGCTTGGTTCTACTTTATTTTTGTTTGTTTTGTTTTTCCTTTTGAGACGGAGTCTCACTCTGTCGCCCAGGCTGGAATGCAGTGACACGATCTCGGTTTACTGCAACCACTGCCTCCCGAGTTCAAGCGATTTTCCTGCCTCAGCCTCCAGAGTAGCTAGAATTATACGCGCCCACCACCACACCGGCTAATTTTTGTATTTTTAGTAGAGACGGGGTTTTGCCATGTTGGAGTTATGTGAAATTGTTAGTGTTCAACAGGGAAGCACATGTTAAGTTCTTCAGTTCTTGAACTCATGACCTCAGGTGATTCGCCCACCTTGACCTCCCAAAGTGCTGGGATTACAGGCCTGATCCACCACGCCCTACTTTCTTATTATGTAAGAATTATTGGCCAGGCTGGGTGGCTCACGTCCGTAATCCCAGCTACTCAGGGAGGCTGAGGCCTCAACACCAACTGTGTGAAATAATCCATAGACACCTAGTACTCTCTACTGGATACCAGTCCCTAATCTAAGCATGGCAGTTCCTTGCTTTCAAAGAGCTTATGTCTTAGTGAGATGGATGCTTTATTAGCTCTTTTTTCCAGGTGAGGAAACTGCTTTTGTGGCACCGAATAATTAGTCAGAAGCCATATATGGCCAGCAAAACAGGGAACCTGGGAATCCAAGTCCAGACAATCTGATGCCAGTGGTTGCCAGTTTACCACCTTGAGAATCTGAATCCCTAAGGAGCCTGGACTGGTGCCACCAAACCTTAGTCATTTTCAGCTGCTGATATTTGTGCATATCATAGTTACTCAATGGCAGCATTATTGACATTGGCAGACAATTCTTTGTCAGGCTAGATAATTCTTTGTTGTGGGATGTTGTTCTGTGCATTGTAAGATGTTTAGCAGCATCCTAGCCTTTATACGATAGATGCCAGTTGCATCCTTCCCCAGTCGTGACAACCAAAAATGTCTTCAGACACTACCATATATCCCCTGGGAGGGACAGAACCACCCGTTTGAGAACCACTGGTGTACACCATTTTTTGGATCTTTGAGAGATAAACATTTGGTACATGACAGTCTCCAAATCATTGTAAGTAGGAGGCCTTGAAGAGAACAGAGGGAAACAGTGTGGCCTAAGTTTTGGAAAAGACTGTTCAACTACGAAAATGACAGAGAAAGGAAAAATAAGTGAAATGGAAAAAAACAAAAGGAGAAGACAAGTGATACAGGTGAAGAAAAGGAGCTTATGAAATGATCTGTGGGCCAGACATGGTGGCTTACCTCTGTAATTCCAGCACTTTGAGAGGCCGAGGTGGGAGGATTGCTTGAGCTCCGGAGTTAGAGATCAGCCTCAGCAACATAGACCCATCTCTACAAAAAAAGATTTTTTATAATTAAGAAATAAGTTACTCAGATCACACCAAGGAACTTATTTCACACTAAGACAGACTAAGAAAGTCTTAAAGGAAAAAAAAAAAAGTTTTAATGAGACCTCATTGTAGCTTCACTCCCTGTTTGGGAAATGCTGCTATGTTTAGCAAATACTCTTGACCACTTTAATGAAAAGATTTATTTTCCCTTACAGCATGGTACCAGGTTTAACTTTCCTGAACTGGCTATGTGCAAGAAGGCTTCCTTCAGAGATTTCAGACATCCTCCAAGGTAGTAATTTATTTTCTAGGAAAAGCAAAGATTCCCTGGCAAAAGTCACAAAGCAATGATAGCTAAACTTTTCCTGGTTTTCTGAGAGATTGATCCTACTTATTCATAACACAAATAATTATTTATATTCTTATAACTCCTTTCCTCCAGGAATCTGCAATGCGTATAGATGTTTATGGATTTTCTTCTTATGCCTGTGAGAGAAATCACTGTAATTTTGTTTCATAAATACAGAAGCCAAGTTATGGAATCCACACACACACAAAAATAGAGATCTAGAACCAGACTACAGGAGTCTTCACTCTGGGCCATACTTAATACCATCTCAGATCTCCAGCTGTCAAACAGTAAGCTAATGATGTTAGTCCTTTAATTGTATAAGGTTAATTATATGTTTTCATTGCTTTTGAACTATTCCTCAGTCTCTTCACTTGACCCATAAAATAGCAGGCTTGTAGAGAATGTGACTTAAAGTTAAATAGTGACAGTATTTGAACTAAAACCTAGATCTCATGATTCTTAGTGCTCTTTTTATTTAGTAAGCAAGGTCACACATCCTCATGGGTAATATTTAACTTACAGAAAACATGATTCAGATAGAGATTATAATCTGCATAAAAACTGATATTTTCTATGTGTATTGTACGTAGATTTCTGTGGAAATAGTACTGCTCTTTACCCAGTTGCTTAAATTAAAACCCAAGAGTTAGCCTTGATTCCTTCTTTTTCCTTACCTTCTTCATTCAGTTCACTGTTGTCTTGTTAATTCAATGTCTAAAATAGATTGCAAATACAACTTCTCTTGTCACTGCCACTAGCCTGGTCCAGGTTATTGTCATCAGCTTTGGGATGCAACATTTTCTCATATCCCTTTGTAACACTTGCCACAGTTTAATTTTCTGTTGTATACTTGTAATTTTCTTATTTTATTTTATTTTTTGAGATAGAGCCTTACTCTGTTGCCCAGGCTGGAGTGCAGTGGTATGATCTCACCTCACTGCAACCTCTACCTCCCTGGTTCAAGCGATTTTCCAGCCTCAGCCTCCTGAATGAGTGGGACTGTGGGGATGCCTGGCTAATTTTTTTTTTTTTTTGTATTTTTAGTAGAGATGGGGTTTCATAATGTTAGCCAGGATGGTCCTGATCTCCTGACCTCGTGATCCCGCCCGTCTTGGCCTCCCAAAGTGCTGGGATTACAGGCATGAGCCACCTTGCCCAGCTGACTTAAAATTTTCTTAATCTCACTTCACTACTATAATGTATGCAGATTTCTTTAACATAGGTGCAAAAATCTGTCTTGTTAACTCTGATATTCCCAGGACCTAGCAGAGTGCCTGGCTTATCATAGGCACTTAATAAATATTTGGTGGCCAGGCACGGTAGCTCACACTTGTAATCCCAGCACTTTGGGAGGCCGAGGTGGGCGGATCACCTGAAGTCAGGAGTTCGAGACCAGCCTGGCCAACATGGTGAAACCCTGTGACTACTAAAAATACAAAAATTAGCTGGGTGAGGTGGTGGGTGCCTGTGATCCCAGCTGCTCGGGAGAGATGAGGCAAGAGAATTGTTTGAGCCCAGTAGGCAGAGGTTGCAGTGAGCAGACATTAAGCACTGCACTCCAGCCTGGGTGACAGAGTGAGACTCTGTCTCAAAAAATATATAAATTAATTAAGTAAATATTTGGGAAATATTTGTTGAATTAATGGTTGAAAACCCATTAGTCCCCAAAATTACATTATGATTGCTTACAATGAAATAGGTGAGGCTGGAGCCTTTATCTGATCATGTATAGTAAAAATGACTGAAGCTAACATAATTAAACTCAATTGTATTATAATCTGTCTGAAAGAATGTGTTAGAATTGAAATGGTTTACCTGTAACCCAGAAAGAGAAAAATAAGCCAGGATGGCTTATTCCATTCAGCAGTGTTCAGGATAGAGAAATTATGAATCCACAGAACATGGTTAAAAGCTAGTCATTAAAGAGGTGTACTTGTTCTAGAGTGAAGATAAGCTCGGGCTTTACTTGTGGCCTGAATGAAATGGGTCTTAGTCCCATCTCTTTTTTCTGATCATTTGCCAAATAACATTTTGATTACTGACTTAAAATCCTTGGTTCCTTTGTGCTGGGAAGGAAATGCTCTGGACAGCAAACAAATATTTTACTCACTGGAAACATACATTCTACGTTATATTCCACAGAGACTATAGCTGTCAGGACAGGAAATTGTTAATCACAACTGTGTCCCTAGTTCCTTAGAATAATGCTCGCACAAAGTAGATTCTTTGTAAGTATTTGATGAATGAATGAATGTATATTAGTTAATTAGAATTATCCTTTATACCACAATCTGTTATGAATTTGGTATTGTGAATCAATCCTCAAGTATCTGTTCCATGATACATGCTTAAGGAAAATCAGATTTCTGGTTTTAGAAGTCAAATACACGAGGTCCTGATCTCTGCTGCTCTACTCCAAGGGTCTTTGAATGACTGGGCATTGTGGCTCAGGCCTATAATTCCAGCACTTTGGGAGACTGAGGCAGGAGGATCACTTGAACTCAGGAGTTTGAGAGGAGCCTGGGCAGCATAATGAGACCCTGTCTCTGTGACAAATAAAAAGCTCTGGGTATTTTTCACAGCAAGCCATCTTCATGATCCTTGAGATCTTATTTGGTTAGTCCCTGACTTCCTTCTCCCATACCTTTTTCTTGGTTCTCTGTAACTCCAGTTCATCTTCCATCTAGCCCATCCAGTTTCCTGGGGTTGTGGTGGGGGGCAACTAATCAAGCTGCTCTCCTGCCTAAAAATCAGTTATTTCTCTGTTACCTTCAGAAAAATAGATTTCCACAGTCTATCTTCCAGCTCTCCTCACCATGCTACCTGTCTACCCTTCTTACATACACTCTCCATCATGTATGCTAAGTTCCAGTCATACTAAATCATTTAATATTTCATAAACATGCTCTGCCCTTTCATTTTTTCCATGCTTCTCCCTCTCTAGAATGTCCTTCCCTCCTGCTCCCACCTGATGAACTCCTGTCATCCTTTAAGATCCAGATCTAGACTTTACTTTTTTAAAGAAGGCTTTGATTTCTCTACTAGAGAAAATATTATTTCTTTCTCTCTACTTATCTTCTATTACAGCCCTTATTTTATATATATGTATATATATTTTTGAGGCGAATTCTCATGCTGTTGCCCCAGTTGGAGTGCAATGGCATGCTCTCAGTTCACCACAACCTCTGCCTCCTGGATTCAAGCAATTCTCCTGCCTCAGCTCCCCCCTCCACCCCAAGTATCTGAGATTACAGGTGCCGACCACCACGCCCAGCTAATTTTTGTATTTTAAGTAGAGACCGGGTTTTGCCATGTTCATCAGGCTGATGTCAAACTCCTTCAGTTGATCTGCCCACCTTGGCCTCCTAAAGTGCTGAGATTACAGGTGTGAGCCACCGCGCCCAGCCCAGCCCTTATTATATTATGTTGTAACTGTCTTTGAGATTGTGGAGTGCAGGATCTGTGCTTTACTTATATTTCTTTGCTTCCCCAAAATGTAGCACGTTTATGAATGCAGGCACCCATACGGGGTAGTAGGTATAAGCGCTAATTACTAACTTGTACCAGTCTTCATTTCTTGAATGTAGCCTCCTTCCCAAGAGAGAATGGGAAACCTCCCAGCTGTACTCTGTTTGGAATAATTGGGTGTGAACATAGGAAATAAATGTTTTACATACTGCTTTTATGATTCTCTATAAAAGGAGGTGATCAGTTTTTGTTTTTGCTTTTTTGAGACAGGGTCTCACTTTGTCACCTAGGCTGGAGTACAGTGGTACGATCATGGCTCACTGCAGCCTCAAACTCCTGGGCTCAGGCAATCCTCCTGCCTCAGCCTCTCAAGTAGCTAGAACTACAGATGTGCACCTCCATACATAGCTAATTAAAAAAAAAATTGGTAGAGATGGGGTGTTATTATGTTGCCCCAGCTGGTCTCAAAGTCCTGGCCTGAAGTGATTCTCCCGCCTTGGCCTCCCAACGTGCTTGGATTGCAGGCATGAGCTGTAAAAGGACCTGAGAGTCTTGAAAGATTAGCAGGCCCTCAATAAGGAGTAATTCAGTGTACCTTATATATACTCAGAACCTTGGTCACTATTCATAGCCCATCTTTCTCCCTTGCTCTTAAGAGACTTATAACCCCAATACCCAGCACAATGCCTAGCGCCTATTAGGAGCTCAGTAAACATTTGTTGAGGTTGGGTGCAGTGGCTCATGCTTGTAATCCCAACATTTTGGGAGGCCACAGTGGGAGGATTGCTTGAGGCCAGGAGTTTGAGACCAGCCTGGGCAGCATAGTAAGACTCTGTCTCTACAAAAAATAATGTTTTAAAAAGTTAGCCAGGCATGGTGGCATGTGCCTCTGGTACCAGCTGCTTGAGAGGCTGAGTGAGGCAAGAGGATCCCTTGAGCTCAGGAGTTTGAGGCTATGAGTTATGATCACACCACTGCACT